CTCTGATAACTCTCTCATTGAATGATTGTTAGCACATCATATTGCGTTTTATGTCACCTAATATTTATACTGGTAGAGTCATAGATAAATTACATGCCTTTATAGATGATGTAAAAACTGTGTGGAAAAAAACTCAGTGACAGTCCACTTCCTTGTTTAGGTGGTTAATAAGACATTGCTTTGTATAGTTGCAGGTCTTGGGGATATCCGTTTTGACACAAGAAAAAGAGAGCTTCAAAAGATGACTTTTCTTGGAAAACTTATTCTTTGCTAGGGATTTATATGTCTGACATTGAGTAGGTGGGGATGGTACCAGTATTTCTTTTAGTGCCTTGATTTCCTTAAAAAAATTCACTGTGAAACTTTGTTCCATGTCAGTGGGCATTTTTTGTTTGTTTTTATCTTGTGAAGGAAGAGGTAAAAAGAACAAATCTTTGAAAGACTTTGTCTTTTATTATTTTTTGCTGCTCAAACACCTAAGAGATGTGAATTGTCAAAGCCTGGTATGCTTGTCATTTGAAAAGAGCAAGAAATTGTCAATGAATCAGAACATTGTTCTGTAACAATGGCCTTTTGCTGCTACATAGAAAGGCAAAACAAATATTCTTTAAAGTAGATGTTGCTTTGTAATAGCATTGTTACAATTACTTACTATTTTTATATTGGTCTTTACTTGGATAGTGTGGACACTATATATGTCTGATCAGTAATGTATCTTGCTTACTATCCTGTTCACTTACTGTATTTTGATAGAAACATGACAGGCTGAAATCAACCGACTTAAAATTTCTTCAGTACAAGAACGGTGGATTAATCTAGTTTTTTAATTTTAATGATGACTACATCAGCCATATCGCTACTTTGTTCACTGGCACAGATTCAGCTTGTAATTAATAGTTTAGTAATAGTTGGCATTCACAGTATATAATGTTTAATCTTAAAACTGTGTTTTTAATACCATAATGAGAGAGATGGGTTACAAGAACTACTATATTTAATTGGGAAAACTAATGCTTCCTAACATTTGCTATTATAACACTTGGAAATACGTGTCCAAATTATGCATGTTGCTCTTATCTCAACCACAAAATACATAATTTAAAATAGGGATGTTAGCAACTAGTTGACTACAAGCATATGTTTATCGGGTAGTCGAGTAGTGACTCAAGGAGTCACTTTGCCGTCCCCCTTGCTGCCTCTATCAGACAGAGGCAGCAAGTGGGGAGGAGCAAGAACTGGTGCTGGAGGGCTCTGGTACATTTCAAAGGCAGAGACACAGCAGGATAGCGAGTGCCCCCCTTGTTGATGAATAGAATAGTCAGTGGAAATTTCACTGACTACTCGATTAGTTGATTGATTGAAATTTAACATCCCTAATTTAAAAAGCATGAAAACCTCCATGACATTTTTGAGCATTGTGTCAAAAACTGCCCTCCTCTCTTACAAGTAGGCTACAAAAACAGGAAGCTCTAGCTTGGCCACAGCCATGGACCTCTGGCTCCGGCAGCAGCCATAGAAGTCCTCTCTTACAAGTAGGCTACAAAAACGGGATTACCATTCCATTTCATGCCCACAATACCTTTCTGTTGAGCTCATGTATTTCACTTGCATAGCTATACTCTCTCAGTAAAATTGTGTCTCATCAAATTGTTTCATCAAAGAAGGGGTTTGTATGAAGCAATTTCTGTCAACATAATGTACTACACGTTGTACCTCCCTTAACCAGGACTCCCTGGTCTGGTAACATCCGTGTTCCAGTATGTACCATAGATGTTCCTGGATCAGAGCCCAGGAAGAGGGAGGTGTGGTGGCAGAGCAGGAGCACCATAAGGGGCACCGGCAACTCAGCTGGCAGCCCAGAGTGTGTGACGGGGGAGTGGAGGTGGGAGGACAGATGGGCTGGGGGGGGGGGCGTGGCGGCCGTGCCCCTCGGCCCCCGCCCCCAGCCATAGAAGTCTGGCCCTTTCCCTGGCCATGGAGCTCTGGCCATGTTCTGGCTCCAGAGACCGGGGAACTCCAGCTCCAGTGGCAGCCAGGAAGCTCTGGCCCCAGCTAAGGAGCCAGGCAGCTGCAGAGCTCTGCCCTGGCTGTGCGGTTCTGGTTGTGGTGCTCCAGTCCCAGCAGTAGTGGGGGCAGGGGCCAAGGCAGCAGCAGGGGCAGGCTGGAGCCCTAGACTGGTGACAGCATGGGCCAGGAGGGGAGGGACGTTCCCTGGTCCAGGAAATCCCCTCGTTTGGGACCAGTCAGGTCTCCAGGGTGCTGGACCAGCAAGGTCCAACATATAGACTCAAAATATTCTCCTCCTATCAGTATTTATAGAGGGTTTTTTTGTTACACATGAAGTATCACTTATGGTCACAAGTAGGGTTCCCTGTAAGGAGTGCACCTGCGCGGGCACACACAAAGAATTTCAGTCCCACCCACCCCCTCAGCAGAGCCATGCAGCCATGGCCTCAGCTGCTCGCGGGGGTGAGCCACATGGTGGGTGGCTGCCCCATTTCATATGGCCCACATGGCAGCTGTCAGAGCTGGAGCCTGGGCCATGGTACTAAAAATATCATTGCAGCCTTGGCTCCAGTCTCAGCATGTGGAGCAGCCACCTGCCATGTGGCTCCCTAGAGAAGGTGGGAGAGGGAAAAAAATTTTGCGTGCAGCCATGCAGGCGTGCACCATAGTGGGAACTATGCCCATGGGTTGTTCTTAATAGGGGCCTATAGACTGTAGGCCATGGGAAAGTCTTACCAAAGTCTTAGACTGTTACCTCTGAGCTCCATGATATGATACATTAGAACCGTGGTCACCAACAGGTGTGGGCGCTGTGGGCAGGGGGTTGGACTCGTTGACCTCCTGTTGTCTCTTCCAATCTGAGGAGTCTATGATTAGTGTTCTAAGCCCTTATGAAATACATAATGTCACAAAAAATTTACTCCAAATGTCACAAAACAATTTAGCAGTTTTTACTCAAGTCATTGATTTTTCAATGTTAGTGAGAGTCACAGGTCCCTAATCTTTGTTGGTCGTGTTCCTGAGCTGGCACTGTTCTGTAGTGATTTGATGTAATTTCCCCAATTACTTTAATTTTGCTGAATTTCCTCAATTGAACTTCAACATCTTGTTGCAGCATGTTTAGAGACTGTTTACTAGGCTAGGTCTGGACTAGGCTAGTAGGAATCTTAAGTAAAACCTCAGGAACAGAGGTTCATAACTCTGAACAAAATACTGTATTATGGTTGTTCTTTCAAAGGTGTACAACTGAAAATTGACTTGAAACTTTAATGGTTGAAAGAAAAATGCTGCTTTTTATTTTTAGTAGTTTTTGATTAACTCAATATTATACTGAATTTGCTTTATTTTTTATTTCCTGTTGCTGCCTGTTTTTTTCTTTCCTGCTGGCATCCCCAAGAGCAGCTGGGGTGCTGCTGGGTTGGTCCTGCAGCCCCGAGGGGCAGCGCAACGGGACCAACCCAGCAGCACCCCAGCTGCTCTGCTCCTGGCTTCCCCGATTCAGCTGCTGGGCCGTTTTAGCAGCCAGTGGATTG